GAAAGTATCACTTATCATTTAACTATACTCCCTATTTTTAACTATACTTCCTATTTTTAACTATACTCCCTATTTTTAACTATACTCCCTATTTTTAACTATACTCCCTATTTTTAACTATACTCCCTTTTCCAGCTTAAAATATTATTTATTGGACTGGAATTTTTTATGCTATCAAATATAGAAAGTATCATTTATCATTTAATCTCTCAGTATTTCCACCAACAATCAAATTAATATCACTTAGCGTCATTCGAATTTTAAAGTTCAAATTTAATGCTTTCTTTGACATTTCTTTTCATTGGATAATTTTATTTCGTGGAAATTTGTTTGATGTTTTGAGCGAAGCCTATTTAAAGAAACATTCCAGTGGTTCAAGTTTCCTTAGTATCATATTGAATATTGTTTGTTTTAAATTTCTCGCAAAGCGATATGAGGGCTATCTGCGCTAGCTCTCTCTAATTTAGCAGTGTAAGACTAGAGGGAAGGCAGCTAGTCATCACCACCCACCGCCAACTCTTGGGCTACTGTTTTACCAACGAATAATGGGATTGACAGTCACATAATAACGCTCCCAAGGCGGAAAGGGCGAGCATGTTTGGTGGGACGAAGAATTCGAACCCGCGACCCGCAAATTGCGAGTCAAGCACCCTAACCACCTGGCCAGCCCCCTAGTGGCACAGGTATGTCTGCGGATTCACAACGCTAGAAACCGGGTTTCGATACACATGGTGGGCAGAGCACGGATAGCTCATTGTGTAGCTTTGTGCTTACTTCAACAAACAAACCACCTGGCTATGCCGGGCCGTGTCATATTGAACTCTCAAGCTGAAGCATAAAATAGAAAAATAACCTCGAACAACGATAATTGCATAATATCGATCTGGTCAATTATATTTTTGAGCATACAACTTTTATTCTAAGTCTATGTGATAAATTAATGTTTTATAAGGCGATTAAATGCATTCTAATTAGTGCATCAGGTGATAACTTCAATCTATGTTAGTTAGACTTACAGTTTCCGAAAAATGTTAATTTGTCAAAGCTTTGTCTACACCCATAAGTTTTTCCCAGCAGCTTTCAGACCGAAAATTTCGACAGTGATGAAAAACGTGGGGAGATACGTATTCCAAATCTTAGATTCACGTGTTATATCACGGTAAATAACTCTGATCCACGAACACAGAATCCTCATGGAATTAAGTTAGTTAAAGCAAGCTGTAAATGCTATTAGGTTAGGTAGAGGGCTTTAAATCATTTTAAACTTCGAAACAGTAGTGCTAGACAGTGTCTGATATTCTAACCCTCTATCCGCTGTACTGTGAAGAAATATTACAGTGGTGAAAATGTAAATACAAAAGTTACGAGTCAGTTAATCACGGCGACGTTGTAAGTTGTCAGAGGGGAAATCTGTATATTTACACAACAAAGATTCTTGAAATACAAAGTGGAGATATTCTTAGACAAACATATATATGTCTCCCGATCTTTCTCGAGATAAAAAGTTCAGAAAAAGTTGAGTAAGTTTAATGTGCTGTCGTGAATAAGAGACTATATAAAATATGGTAATACTTAGTTTATCTGAATATGGACAATACTATCTGATCAATGTTAGTTTACAATACAACTACCGTTGTAGTCGTCAAGCGGCTGACGAGAGAACAAATAAAACAAAAATCGTTACAAGAAGACATCAGAATGTCACAAAATGGAAAACATCAGAATGTCACAAAATGGAAAACATCAGAATGTCACAAAATGGAAGACATCAGAATGTCACAAAATGGAAGACATCAGAATGTCACAAAATGGAAGACATCAGAATGTCACAAAATGGAAAACATCAGAATGTCACAAAATGGTATGTAATTTTTATTTCACTCTCAGTTAAAATTATGTAGTAGTTATTCTGTATTACACGTAATGATGAATAAATCTATCTGAACGTAAAATAACAATAGCAATAGTTAGAAATAATTATTCAGTTATTATTTACACTGATAGATAAACGCAATATATTAAATTACATTAAATTAAGTAAGATATTGTTTTTGCACGTTCTGATATCATGTTGATCTTCTGACTTAGGAAAAAACTTATTTTGTATGTGGGATTAGTTTTTGCAAATCCTTTTAAAGATTATACCTTAGTAAGGTGCTCCAGTGGCATCGGTTAGGACTTTCAGCACTAGTTTCTTTTTGAAAGAATACAAACATAAACTTCGATAATTAATGACTTTGTATATTAGAGAACTGAGCGTATTATAATATCCTATATTGGAGATTGTTTCCAGATATTAACTCAAGAAATATCAGGAAGTGTTTCATGTAATTTACTTTCGGGAAATGTATTCCATTAAATAATCATAAACCAAGAAAAGAACCTTATTTATTGAATAATCATAAACCAAGAAAAGAACCTTATTTATTGAATAATCATAAACCAAGAAAAGAACCTTATTTATTGAATAATCAGAAATGAAGAGAAGAACCTTATTTATTGAATAATCAGAAATCAAAAGAAGAACCTTGTTGTTTAGGTAATAAAAAGTTAAGAGAAGAACCTTATTTATTGAATAATCAAAAACCAAGAGAAGAACCCTGATAATTAAATAACCAGGAATTAAGAGAAGGAACTTGTTGATTAGATAATCAGTAACCAAGAGAGGAACGTTTTTGATTACATAATCAGGAATGAAAGGTATAATCTTGTGTATTAAATAATCAAGAACCAAATTAACAGTTTGGATAACTGAATAATCAGAAATTAAAATAAAAGTACTGAGAGTTGGTTGTGTAGGAGATATTTAAAAAATGATCAACACCGAAAATTGTCATATTTCGTTTATTACTTATACACACACATATATTATATAGGTTATTAAGCCAGTAAAATATTCCTGTGTTAAACGCAAAGTAATCGAAGTTTCAAATTTTTATTTACCACATTAAACCATTTCTTCTCTCTGTTAAGTGTGATCCTCCAAGACTTAATATTTGTTCATTTTTATTAATTTCTCCTCGGTGATATAATTTAAAGATCTAAGAACACGAGGCAGAATTTCATTGCATTGTTGTTGTTAGTCTTATATAATTGATATTGATGATTAATTCAGCATTTCAGGACTTTTTTTTTACCCATACAAAAACAGCCCTTATATTCACAATTTTGACTTGAAACTTTACAAAAAAAACCTGTTGTAGTTTACCTTTATTTGTGTGTTAAAAGTTTAAATTTGTATGATCGATATTCCTATTATTTAAAAGATGTCAATATAATTTTCTAAAACATCGCAGCTTATTAAGCTGTTATCCTTATGTATAGTTTACGACTCCTGACGCCTAAGTTTCTGCTTCAGCTTAACCGAGAGGAAACCTAAACTGTTTCTACATTTAAACAAATCACTACAGAACGAAAACGATACACTTACATCAACTCTGACCCCGCTGAGAGGAAGAAACTGTCCAGGAGGCCAGTCATTTGGGACAAAGCGGTAGAATTCAACATCGTCCTTGTACCATTTTACTGAGTACAATGTGTCTCCATTGAGATCAAAACTACATGTAAGTTCTACTTCTTGGCCGACAACAGTCGGTGATGGAACGTCTAACATTACCAGTCGTAAAGGGGTGGTTAAGGAAACGGCTGAAAATAAATATTTAAATATATTAACAATATGTCTGAAAATATTATTAAAAAAGAAACATTAAAATGCTTGTTATATTCAACCATAATCAAACAGATGCGAGGTATAAAACAAAACCGAACTTAAAATACGAAATATTAACTCTAAAATGAATTCACAGACAGAAAACATATTTTCTACAAAGAAGACTTATATTGTATATATCTCTATAAGAACAAAGTTGAAATTTTTTAATCTAAAAAAAGCGTTTTTTCAGGACCTGATTTTTAACTTTTTTTGCCCCTTTTTCTATAGCTAAACGTTGTGTGTTTTTTTAAATATATATCTTGTTTAGCCTGATCGGTTTAGTATTGGCTTAGAGCCACAGCCAGTCTAGACTTTGATCTTCAAGAGGCCTAACTCACAACTTGTACAGTATTTGAATAAATCGTATATAGATGTGTGCGTGTGTTGAACGAGCATTCACATTTTTAGATCATTGTTAGACTTTTTTTTTTCAACTATCAAATCAAATATTAATAATATAATAGGGTGAAATTATTTATTTATAATTCAAGTACTGGCAATCAGGAAACATTCTCAAAGAAATGGACTGTGATAAGGTGACATATAATTCAATTTATAACATCTGTAGCATCACCAGGCATAACAAATATTAAACTTTATAATGACAACCATTACAGTTATATGTATAAGAAAAACTATTGGTGTGACTCAGTCATATTTATTCATAGTATCTTAGGGTGTTGACGAATTACTTGTATTTCGTCTCCCTCTGAATTTTGCATTGTATTGTTATAAATTCCACATGTATAATGACAACATTTTGTCAATAATTTTACAACAACAGCCTAATTATTTATTTGACTTCTACCTTGATACAAAATACACGAGTCTATTTAATAAGTTGGGATTAGTAGGTTGGGAATCCACATTTTCAGGAAAATGTTTCAAACATTTCCCATGATGCTTCAAATGAACAATACTCTTCTCAGGTTTTCACCCGTCCCTTTAGTGAAACGAAAAACACAGCAGAAAAATTCAAAACCATTCCAAATAATTTTCTGGTAAAAATACATATATATATACAAAGTTTGATATCGATACAACAATCGGTTGTGTTATAGTTAACACAGGCCTGTATTTCGGGAAAACTATTTGTGTTAACTTACAACACAACTTGTTTTACAGTGCATCAATATTGGTGCTGTAGTTTCGTCAATTTTAAACTGGTATTATTTCAATGAGCTTCAAGTTCTATATATCCGAAATAACGAGATGATTAGAAGAATTGCTTCATTAGTTATTGGGGGTGGGGGAGTAAAAGGTAATACGAATAAGAAACAAATGCAATTATTATACCATAGATTTAACATTTAACAGTTGCATAGTACATAATTGAAAAACCAAGATGTCGAAACATGACCCCATAAGTTTATGTTACTGAATTGTTACATTTGACACTATAATAGTACATTATTGAGAATCAAAACGACGAGATATAAGTTTTATGTTTGTCAATTGTTACATTTGAACAATAATAGTACATTATTGAGAATCAAAACGACGAGATAAAAGTTTTACGTTTGTCAGTTGTTACATTTGAACAATAATAGTACATTATTGAGAATCAAAACGACAAGATAAAAGTTTTACGTTAGTCAATTGTTACATTTGACACTGTAATAGTACATTATTGAGAATCAAAACGACGAGATATAAGTTTTATGTTTGTCAATTGTTAC